AGGTGTGAGAAAGACAGAGAAGTCAGCAGAAATTCTACAGCATATAGGAGAACAAAATGCTGTTTTAAAATAAACGAGCCGTAAAACGGATAGGTTACTGCAAAAGTCATACAAATAGAAGCCCTGTCCTTCCCCTGGAAGCTACAGGTCTCTTTGGAAGTCGTTAGGATTGCTTTCATTGGGTAAGACAACACGATCTTCTTCTTCTAAGCAGGATCCTTACAATTAACCCCCAAAATAGTACTTATCCAACTGGGCCTTGTATATTCTCAGTACCAGCTGTGCTTCCAAAAAAAGAGGAACTTCCAGGAAATTAGTGTGACAAACATCTTTTATAAGTAGCGAAAGGTGACCAAGAGGTAAGAGGTAAACGGCCAATAAGTGGGGATTTAGCAGCAGCATGGGGAAAGAGAAGAAGCAATGAAGATATGAGATCATGGAGATGAATGACAGTTGAGAACTCTGGGGTAAGATTGACCGAAGACAATGACGCTGTTCTCTGGGTTTCAGATGAGCTTTCAGGACGAGCAGGAAGTCGGGTTCCTGCCACATGAGCTGAGCAGCGCCAGTGAGTACCACAGCAGCAGCGAGGACGGCAGTTCCCTCACCTACTCCTCCGGCTCCGAACACATCCCGCCCCCCCCGCAGAGCCCCCCACCGCCGCCGCCCATACAGTTCAATGACCCCCTGCCCATCTCCCTCACCCCTGACATCAACAGGAGCCACATGCACCTCCCACACCACCCCCCGCCACCACCCCCGCGAGCCAACCTGCCCTCACGGTTCTCCGTGCACAAGGCGCACCCTCCCAGCCAGGATGTGCAGAATCACCAGCCGCACCAGAGTCCTCATCAGCTTCACCAGAGTCCTCATCAGCCTCATCAGAGTCCTCATCGGTCTCATCAGAGCCATCACCAGCTTCAGCAGAGCGCTCATCAGGCTCATCAGAGTCCTCATCAGAGCCATCACCAGCTTCAGCAGAGCCCTCATCAAGCTCACCAGAGCCCTCACCAGCTTCACCAGAGCCCTCACCAGCTTCACCAGAGCCCTCACCAGCTTCACCAGAGCTCTCACCAGCTTCACCAGGGCCCTCATCAGCCTCACCAGAGCTCTCATCAGCCCCACCAAATTCATCAGGCCCCTCAGACTCACCAGCCTCACCAAACTCACCAGACCCCAGAGCCCAGCCAACCTCACCAAGCCCATCCTGCACACCAGCCCCATCATCCTGCTGCTCCCTCCCACCACCCCGGCCAGTCTCACAAAGTGCCCCCGCCTCCCCCACCTCCACCCCCTCCCCCACCCTGCGTGCCTCCTCCTCTGCCCCGGCCCATGCACCTCCGGTCGGACTCCAGCCACATGAGTGTGAAGCGTCTGCGCTGGGAGCAGGTGGAGAACTTTGAAGGCACCATCTGGGGCCAGGTGGGTACAGCACAGCGCCTCAGAACGGGACATTAGCAAGGTGATGTGAAACGCTGAAACGCTGACACTGCCTGTAGTTTTTTTCCATCAAAATAAACTTAATTTCACAAAAAAACATCCCCCAGTAAGTACACACTCACAAAATATTAAACTTACATTAATCAAAAACTTTCTGAACCGAGTGATTGTTCATTATCAGTCAGAGCTGATAATGATGTTGGGGCTGGGTTTGCACATTGAAAGAGTCCCTTTCAAGGCCTACCCATTTGCTCTTGTCCGTGCCATTTTCCTGTGCCAGCTCTGAAACTGCGGTCATCCAGTCCTCCGCAGGAGCTCAGGGAACAGGGTTTTTCTCTTTATTCCCACAGGGCCCCAATCCCTTCCAGCACTCCCTTGCTGTGGAGAAGCCCCATTTGGTGACGTCGCGCTTCATCCTCCCTCTGAGATCCGCAAGGATCCTCTCCTCCAGCTCCCTCGCTCCCCACTCTGTGTTGTGCTGGATAACAAGTGTTCCTCGCAGTTCACAGTCCTTGTTTTGTTAGGGACACCAGTAGCCCCAGCAAGTACTGTGTCCCCTTGTCCAGTGAGGTCGGTGCTAGCCGCAGCAGGATGCACTGGTGGCTGAGCACCGCTCCTGCTCCCAGGAGGTGCATAATGTTGTCTATTCTGCCCCACACTGCTTTGGCAAAGGGACAGCTCCAGAACGCATGCTCCTGTGTCTCCTTGACAAAGCACGTGCTCCGAGATTCCTGGTGAGAGAGTGTCGTTAGAGGACCAGCCTCTGGTGTGACACTGCCTGTAAACTGATCTCCCAAGGTCTGTGGTTTTGCCATTTTGGAGCATTGCAGGGAATACCTTACACTGGTAGCACTAAGCGTATGCTGCCTTGTACTAGTACATAGGGAAATAAATAGTGATAGGTTGGTGCAGTTCTGCTTTGGTGTCAAACACACCTTTTGCGATGGCTGAGTTGATCATTAACACTCTCTGTAAAACAAGTGTGATTAAATGAGAAAGAATGTGTGTCAAATTGTCTTGGCGGACAAAATTTGCATTCAACTTAATTTGCATCCCGAGAGATGTCAAGAAGGTGGTCTGGGGTCAGAGTTGACTGGCAGTGCAACCTTGAGAATTCTGCCCGAAGCAGATGCCAACCCAAATGCCAGATGTACGTTTGAAGGAGGCATGGGCTTGGCACCCTGAGCCAAGACTTTTGCTCTAAGCTGGCATGCTGACCAGTCTGGTGCACTTGTGTCCTGCAGCTTGGAGAGGACTCCGATTACGACAAGCTGAGTGACATGGTGAAGTATCTGGACCTTGAGCTGCACTTCGGAACGCAGAAGAACACAAGTAAGGCAGATGTGTACATGAGCATTATTGTTCTCATCTCCATGGCAACATGCCCTGAGTGCGTGAGCATTATTGTCCACATCTCCATGCCAACACACCCTAATTCATAAAGTTAGGATGCCTCCTGCTGCCTTCTAGCTGGGACTGCAACTTGGCCGACTTTTGAAGTCCAGCAGCAGAACGTATAGCTTTTGATTAATAGGACTAAAGAGGTCCTGTATTAATAGAAGATTAGCTGGAAGGAGTGTTCTGACCTAGTTCGTGATTTGCTCCATTTTCCTTTTCCTTTACCAGATTGTGTATTTTAGATTCTGAAGAAACGATCATTGGGATCATTTTAAAACTCCTGTCTATGGATGTCATCTTTGTAGGCAAAAAGGGATTGCCTTTAGAAGCAAAAACTCGATCTGAACTCTTTTGAAAAAGCAAAACAAATCCCTATCTGAAAGCTCCCTTTGCTTCATAACATTCCTCGAAGTTGTTCTGGTTCAATTTTGCAAGCTTTAAAAATCTAAGAACCACCCAAAGCTGCTCCAGTCCCAAAGTGTCTTCCCAGTATGTATGGATGGTGTAGTACAGGGCTGTGTCTTGTTCTGTGCTCTGTGCGTGTCCTCATACCTGCCAAGCCTGACTTGTTCGTCTTGTGTTCTTCCAGCACAGCGCCACCTGCGCCCTGTCCCTTCAGGAGACCTTTGAATTCCTCAATTCAAGGCCTCCCGGACACGCCACCCCCGGCTCCACCTGGCACTTCACCTCCGCTCATCTTCTCCATCACAGTTGCTTTTGCCTGCTGTGTGGCTGACGGTGCCGGGAGGACAGCTCCTTACACTGGGATTAAATCTTTCAGTTTCTATTCCAGATCCCACCCTCCTGCCCGAGTCCTTTAAAAAGAAGGACGTGGTGGAGATTCTCTCTCGCAAAAAGGCCTACAACACGTGTGAGTATGGATGGCGGATCCCGAGGGAATGACCCTCCGGTTTCCCTGAGCTGCGACTGGGCTGAGTCCTGTCTAAGTCTGCTGCCTTAGCCTGCAATACATCAGGGGTTCACACCTCTTCTGAAAGCCTTACCTATTCACCCAGGGACTGAATGCAGCTGAAAAGTTTTTGACTTTCACTTGGATTTAACATCCTTATTGAACGTTCCATAGTTTCTATGCCGCTTGCATTGAAACACGTTTTTTTGATTTTGCATTTGGAGTTTTAGCAGGGTCTCCACCGTGCTTTAGAGACAGGCGAGCGCGGGGTTTTGGGGTACCGGCTGCTGCTGTGTTAGTGGCCGTCAACACTTATTGCTGCCCCTCGACAGCCATCCTGATCGCCCACCTGAAGCTGTCCCCCGCTGAGCTGCGCCAGGTCCTGATGACCATGAGCAACGAGCGCCTGGAGCCCTCCCACATCAAGCAGCTCCTGCTCTACGCCCCCGACGAGGAGGAGGTCAAGCAGTTCCAGCAGTACAGCCAGGACCCCGCCAAGCTCAGCGAACCCGACCAGTTCGTCCTGCAGGTAGGGTGTGGTGGGAGAGGTCTGGCGCGGTGAATCACCTGTAGTGTAACTCCAGGCCAGTCACTGTTCTCTAGCGGTGTGTCTGTCTCTGCCTCTCACAGGGTGTTTTAGTAATTAATAACTAAAAATCGCTTGCACTTATATAGCACATTTTCTGGGCACTCCACTCAAAGTGCTTTACAGGTAATGGGTACTCCCCTCCACCACCACCAGTGAGCAGCCCCTACTGGATGATGCAACGGCAGCCATAGTGCGCCAGAACACTCACCACACATCAGCTATCTGTGGGGAGAAGAACAGAGTGATGAATCCAATTCATACATGGGGATTATTAGGAGGCCATGATTGGTAACAGCCAATGGGAAATTTGGCCAGGACACCGGGGTTACACCCCTACTGTTTTCAAGAAACACCCTGGGATTTTAAATGACCACAGAGAGTCAGGACCTCGGTTTTACATCTCATCCGAAGGATGGTGCCTTTTTACCGTATAGTATTCATATACTGGGGGATGAGAACCCACACAGACCACAGGGTGAGCGCTCCCTACTTGCCCCACTCACACCTCTTCCAGCAGCAACCTTAGTTTTCCCCAGGAGGTCTCCCATCCAGGTACTGACCAGGCTCACACCTGCTGAGCTCCAGTGGGCTGCCGGTGGTGAGTTGCAGGGTGATATGGCCGCTGGCCTTATGTGTCTGTCACGCTCTGCAGCAATGCTGGGCAGTGTCTCCAGCGCTGTACCTGAGCACCCTTCTGTCTGCGTGTGGCTCTAGATGCTGTCCGTCCCTGAGTACAAGACCAGGCTGCGGAGCCTGCACTTCAAGACCACTCTTCAGGAGAAGACGGAGGAGATGAAAGCCGGGTACGAATGCATCTACAAGGCCTCCCTGGAGCTCAAGAGCAGCAAGAAACTTGCCAAGATCCTGGAGGTACGGCACTCCGCAACATTGCTGCAGCTCTGCACCTGAGCGATCATCAGTACACCAACTGAATAACTTGTGTGTCGACGCTCCTGCAACATGTTAATAGTGGTTGCACACCTGATGGCTCATGGCGGGCTTGTTGCCCAGCTTTGTGCAAAGCTTTTGCAATGCTGCTGCAAGAAATTACGCTCCAAGAGCACCAATGGGGGTTGTTTGGAGCTCTCACAGGTGTAAACTAAGTGACATTCAGTCCAGCATTCAGTGTGTGGCTGATTCATGCCAGTAAGGGAAATAAATCAGGAGATTATTTAACCCTGAAAAACATTTTCATCAGCTTTTTCAATACTTGATGTCAAAATCTGTCCTTGTGAAACATGAACAGTATACAGACAGCATAGATTTGCTGCACGTCCTGCATCCTTGAATGGTGAGTGACAGTATACTGAATACATTCTGATCTAGTAAACACTCACTTTTTGCAGCTGTACAGATTTGACATGCTCCATAGCACCATAAAGCGCAAAACACAGCCATAATCTTTGATGACAAAAGCAGGCATTGTTTTTTTTAAAGGCTGCTCATTTTAGAAAATACCAAGTGCAGCCAAATGCATTGCAGAAGGCAAGGAGTGAGCTGCACCCTGCTGCCACAAGGAGAATATGTGAACACTACACTCATGTTGCATCATAATGTGTTGTCTTCACATGAACACTGATGAAGTCTCTGTGCTACCTCGCTCTCCTGTATCTTTCTGCAGTTTGTGCTGGCGATGGGGAATTATTTGAACAACGGCCAGCCCAAGACTGGTAAAACCACTGGGTTTAAAATCAACTTTCTCACTGAGGTAGGCTGCGCTGTTACGGGCAATGGCGTGGGTGGGTGTGTTAACTCTGCAGATGTGATGCACTGCTGTCATTCATCCTAAAAACATGAAGTGCTTCATTAAGCCTCACACTAACTATAGTGAGGACAATGGAAGGAATCCTGATTAAATGGGATCGCCCTGTATTTAGATATTGCAGCTGACAGTGGACAGCCTACAGATTTAGAACTGAAGGCTGTTAAAGGCAAGTCAAATATCAGCCATACAGATACACGCATGAAATAAATGTTCCTTGCCAGGCCTTTTTTGTCCAATTTATTGACTATAAAGAATGTAGATGGTATCCTATAATAGCTAAATAATGTTAAGTGGCAATATTGAGACAGCAAGGTGCCATAGCAGATAACTAGCACCTTATACTGTAGCTCCTCTGGCCCAGGATTCAGTTTCAGTCTTAGACGTCTGCTTGTGTGGAGTTTAGAGTCTTTCCCCTGTGTCTCTGTAGGTTATTGCTCAGTGCTGCACTTTTCTCCCACTTCCCAAAGACATGGAGGTTAGAAAACTCTTCACTCAGGTCAGGTGTGGTTCAGCAGAGTCCTTTATTCATGCACATGGAGAGGATACAGCATGAGCATTAAAAGATCAAATAATGTGCCTGCAATTATCCTTTCAGACTGTTGCCAGGTAGAAAAGGCATGTTAGCAAAGACAAATAGTTACTATCTTGTGCACTTAAAAAAGGTGCAATGCTAAAATTCTCCCTCAGTCTGATAGGCTGTAAACTGTGTATGATAGACTGGTTTCCTGTCCCAGGAAAGAGTAATCATGTGCCCTACACTTCCGAGTTAGGCTCCAGCTTGCACCAGGATTAATGGATTCTGATGATGGCTTGGCGTTATTAAGCTTGAGCCATTTTGGGTCTCGGAGGTTTGCAGAGGGGTGTGGGTTCTCTCAGCCATTCGAAGATCCCAGATCACGCTGTTTTTTTTTCGGAAGACAGTCCAAAAGGCTCTTGCGTGCTGCTCCATCTAGATTCTTCTCACCCGCTGGCCGCTGTCTCCCTGCCCTCCAGCTCAGCACCACGAAAACGGTGGACGGGAAGTCCACGTTCCTTCACATCCTTGCCAAGTCCCTAGGCCAGCACTTTCCGGAGCTTCTGGGCTTTGCCAAGGACCTCCCCACAGTGTCCCTCGCTGCCAAAGGTGGGCACACTCTCTGTCTGCAGGCAGGGTTGAGAAGCGACGGCTGTTCACTGCTGAAAATGTCTTAAAGAAACAACTCCTGAAAACGTTCAGTTCCACTAAATTTAAATGGATTTGGTTTGTAGTGGTGGGAGCCATTGTCACACAAGGTTCTATAATGCATACATGCAATTTGTAATTTTCCTCCTATGTCCAAAATTCAAGATAAAAGACGATTTGAGACCAAGTGTGTCACTTGAGAGAGGATCATTATTCAGAAGGGTAACTGCTGTGTATACTTGGCCAATTGAGTTTTCTAATTTAGCGTATGATCCTAAATGATCCTTCTGCGTATGATGTCTTGGCGTGTGAAAGGGTTAATGATACGTGCTGTGTGCTACACACTGTTAACAGAAAATTGTCTGAAAACCCGGTGAATACTGAAGCTAGAGTGGGGCTGAAAACGTCTTAGAATGCTCAAGTAGTGACACAGACTGGTGAATCATTAAAAACACAATTTACCATACTGTAGCATGCCAGTGGAAAACTACCCAGAGTGGGTGACTACTGAGCTGTTCAGTTTGTGGTGAAGTTGTTCAGGGTCTGGTGTCAAGTGTTTAACTATCTACCAGTGAAGGAAAAGTGCGCATCAGCCTCTTTCTCCTGAACACGTCGTTATTCAGCCCTGAAAATGAGCTTACCCAGCCACCAACAAAACCCTGTTTTGAAATAAGCGTGTGGTCAGATGCTTACTGCTTTTTTGGGTTGCCTGTTTTTTCATACCCGAGTAGATCTTTGATAATGAAACAACACATGCTGAGCAACAAAAAGGAATTTTTTAGTGTACAGTGTTCTACTTCTGTGCCAAGTTTCTGAAAAGCAGATTATTTAATCTACAGTCTACAGTATGTGCATGAAGACGAAGTACATCGTTGTACCCATGCTGTACTCCTGCTCCCTTCCTTCTGTAGTCAATCAAAGGACGATCACAACTGACCTTAATGACCTACACGCAACCATACAGGACATCCGGATAGCCTGCCAGAAGATGCCTGCTACTGCTGAGGACAGGTTTGCAGCTGTGATGAGTGTATCCTTTATGCCACTGATCAGCGCCACAAAAGATTAAATCACTGTGATACCTGTGATGAGAGCATAAGACGGTTTACAAATGAGAGGAGGTCATTCAGCCCTCTGAGCCTGTTTGAAAGTTAGTAATTGATCTGACAATCTCATCCAGCCACTGGGTTCAATAGTTTGGCTGGGTAGCTTGGTTCACATTCCCACAGACGTCTTGGTAAAGAAGTGCCTCCTGCTCTTGGATTTAAGTGCACTTCCACGTAGTTTCCACTTGTGGCTCATGTTTCAGTGCTCATCCTGAAGAAGAACCATGGGGGTTGACTTTATCAGTGTCTTTGCTGGATTTCTTTTCTGAGCGAGTTGAAAGGTGGGCAG